GTATGCATGTATATGTATCTGTATATGTATATGTATATGTATATGTATATGTATATGTATATGCATATGTATATGCATATGTATATGTAGGTGTGTATATACATATATATATATATATATATATATATATATATATATATATATATATATATGTATATATATATATGTGTGTGTGTGTTGTGTGTGTGTGTGTGTGTGTGTGTTGTGTGTGTGTGGTGTATGTGTTGTGTGTGTGTGTGTGTGTGTGTTGTATGTGTGTATACCACACACACACACACACGCACACACATATATTTATATATATATATATATATATATATATATATATATATATATATATATATATTTATTTATGTATATATATAATATGTATATATGTATGTATGTATATATATAATATTATATATATAATATATATATATAATATATAATTATATATATATATTATTTATATATGTTATATATAAGTTATATATATATATATATTATATATTATATATAATATATATATTTATATATATATATATATTATATATATATTATATGCAATATATATATATATATATATATATATATATATATATATATATATATATATATATATATATATATATATATATATATATATATATTTACATGTATGTATGTATGTATGTATGTATGTGTATGTATATGTATAAAAGAAACGATTGACCGAATACCCTCTGTCGCTTCTTCTCCGATCATCTTCGGGCCCTTCTGTGCTTAGAGATCAGGACAGGAGGAGCTCACAGACGCCCACTTGAGTGGGGTCCTTCACACTGCGGGCGCCCTTTCCCAAAACACAAACACATCAGGGGGCCAGAAAGTGATACACTTGACGTGTAGGCGCAGATGGTCATCGGGGTTTCCCCCAAGGTGGACGAGTCTATTGTCTTGGCCCAGGGGAGTCCCTGAGGGGTAGGCGAGTCCATTGTTTTGACCTGGGGGAGTCTCTTGGGACGGATAAGGCTATTGTCTTGCCGCATAGGGCGGGTGGGGCCTGGACGGACCATTGTAGAGTGTTGGGATCATATTGCTGGCGGGGTCGGAGATTGGGGGAGGGGGGGGGGCAGCCGATAGGAAGGAGGAGGGGGCCTTAGGAACCCGTCCACGTGCACACGCGCTAAGGCCGCCATCATCATGACTGGAATAAAAGGATTATATTGATCGACTCCCACTCAAGACGTTTATCTACTATCGGCGTTTCTGCTCATTTGACAGCGGCTCATTCGCTTATCTGCTTAATGCGGTTAGCGGACTCAGCGGGCGCGGCGCGGCGGGACCGCGAACTGGAGCGACCGGAGAGATATGCTTATTAGGCTGTGCGTTTGTCTTGATGTGTGTGTTCCTGCGATTGTTCTTAAGATGTGTGTTTGTTTTCTACTCTGTGGACATAGCTAATGTGGGCTGAAGTGAACGGGCTAGTGCTCTTGTAAACTCAAAGCTGATTTCACTCTTGTGGAAGTGTGTATCAATTTTTGTTTATTCTCTATACGTATATACATCTTTTACACTTCGAATTAAACTGAAAGAGCTCAAGTATTACTAAATTTATTCATAGTACTTGAAAAAAAGTTAAACAGCCAGAACTGAACTTACATAACAGATATGGTAAACATTATTATGCTTAAGGTATTTAAGGTGACTAAAGGTGACTGAGGTGACTAGGTGAACTCGGGAATGAGTCTGGTAAGGTCACAGATGAAGTCATTTCCTGCTCGTCTGTGTGACCTTATCGGCACCAACCCGTCCCCACCTGCTCCTGGCACTGTGTGGCACTGCCTGATATCACTGGGGTTGTATTGTGAATCTTATTTGACTGAACTGCGGTTGTGTTGTTGTAGTCTTAGCCAATAGCATATATGTGTAATCCAACTATATTGTAGGGTAAAATTAATTATTTTTTCTCTCAAATCTAATTCTTCTCTTTTATGTATCCCTTTATTCGTGAAATTGATAAGGGTAAGCAATTATGAGGAGAGGGAAAAGGAAAAAAACAATACTAGAATTTTATGTCTATTCCATAAACCGAATTTATAGATTATGAGATTTTCGCCCTCTGCATGATACAGGAATTAAACGTGAAAGATAAATGCTAAACTAAACACAGACGTTAAGATACAAAGTGAAAAGATAGGGATAATGAGAATAAGAGGTGATAGAAGGAAGAGAAAGAGTGAATGGTTGTTGAGGACAAGGGCCAGTAACAAGGAAAAAAAACAAGACGAAAAAGTGGCAATAAGAAAACAAAGAAAAAATGTTGGCCAGAAGATGAATTCATAATGGCTGGATGCAGAAAGAAGGCTGGTGGGGGTGGGGGGGGGGGGTCGGGAATGGTTACGAAACAAATATAAACAACCTAAAAGAAAAGAAAAAAAACTGAGGTTCAGTTAAATATTGACGGATGACGGCATCTATCCCCGAGAGACAATGAGGGATAAGCAAGGGACAGTTCAGGGACGGAATAGGGACGCCAGGGTACGCCCTGTTGACATAACAAACAGTGAAGTAATCAGGCTGTGTGAT